GTTAAAGTCAACCACAGGTGCCACCCTCTGATTGTTTTCCTCTGGTCTACATATACGTTGTGCGTCATGATGCGCGGTGCTAATTTATCGGTTGTGTGCACGCGTGCCTTTCCGTAATCAACTCTGGTTCCCAATCGGCGTTTCATTACAGCTCGAACGATCCCGACTGCTTATAGTTTGACCTTTTGAATATGCCCGTGCACTCTTTAAATGTCTCATCATGACAAAAAAGGCATGATCACCTAACACAGGGACCTTACTGTGAAATTTCTCAAAAGCGAGTTCAGGCCCTCGGGAATAAGACCCAAACCACGACTACGAAGTTACTTGGAGATTTAAAACCGAAGCTGGGTTAGTCAATATGGTTTCAGTTGAATCCCAAAAACAACCTGTGCTTCGAGATTTTATGGTTTGCCCAAAATTCACAAAGCAGATGTTCCCTTACGACCAATAATTGATTACACAAACACTCCGAACTATGCCCTTTCAAAACATCTTACAAACATGCTACATCCACTCCAAAAATGTGATGAACACTTCTTTTTATTTATTAAATATACAGTCAGCTTTCAGGAAGGGTGCTTACTTTCTGTCAGACTGTTCACACATCTGTTATTTTTCCACACACGCGTGAGCTCAGGCTGCGTACCAAACCAATCACGATGTTCATTACAGAAAAATAGTTCACGATCTAATAGGTATTTGTCCCTCCGCGTTTCCGCTCCCCAGATTTATATGCTGATACATCCGTCTGATTAGCAGCCCTCCGGATCCCGTAAATGTTATTTGTCGATAAATTTTTAGAATCCACCAGGATTCTACAGGCTTCAGAGCAACGCCGGCAAAAAACGCAGTTCCAAATCTGTACGGACTGCAGTGTTCCCTGTCCGCTGCTTCGATAAAGAACCCGCATAATACTCCACATGATATACTCTCTCCAATTGATCTGATTCGGACCGGAGCTATCTTTGACATTGATTCGTAGCTTGCAGGATCCCAATAGATTTCATACTATCCAAAAGCACGGTGTAAATACCTGTGACTTTCAACTGCTGATTGTGACCGCAAAAGTGAAACGGGGATTTCGACTTGGTTTCATTGGAATAAGACTATGTCGGAGTTCTAAACACCGGACGGACCCTCATCCACTCGATTTGGAAGAAGGCATAAGGACGGAAGAGCGCATATTTGGTTAAGGATGGCAGCTATCCACATGGATGAGGACTTCTCCACTTTCAGTCAAACGTTTGATAAAACTGTATGGTGAAATGTGTTAGTAGCGATTTACATTCGCTCAGCGTTCCTGCAAAGAGTAAATGTTTTTCGTAGAGGAATAGTATAAAACTATTTACTACTTGAGAGGGAACATTAAAAAGAATGACAATCACCTTGACGTCGTTAGCTTACCGGTTTTACTAGTGCAGTTGAAGATGAATCCTCTTTCACGGCCGAATCGGAGCACTCCGATATTTCAAAAGAACTCGATGGTTTTGAACAATGGGAACATTTTGAACAATTTTCAGATACCTCTTTTGAGCCCAAATCGACTAACTCTGATTGAGAATCAGCTTGATCAAGTGATTCGTTTTCCAGAGCAGATTCAAATGCGTCCACCACCCTGCGAATAGATTTGTTCGTTCTTTGCTCTTCGGATTCTGCAACCATTTCGGAGAGTTCTGCGTGATTTGGAGCTGGGTCCGTTAGTTCGGATTCAAATTGACTTGCGTCCAACTCAATCACCTCGATCTTCTCATTCAGACCATATTGATCTGTGAGAATAAACGAACAAGATGATGAAAATTAATTGTGATCAAATCGGACACAGATCAATAAAAAATGTGAAGGGCTACATCGTCGGTGAGAGCTTCAGGAATGATGGATTTCATAGGGTGAATTTCTTACCCGAGCAATTGACCATATTGTGGTATTCAACCGTTTGCGACGATTCCGAACCACGATTGAGTTGGGTGATGTCATCCGGCTCAAACAGCTGATTCAACTCGAAGGCTTCATCTGAATTTCTCACTTGGTGGTATGTGGTAGTGGTTGGACAGGATGAAGATGTGACCACTGAAAGTTCTGCAGATTCACCGACCGGTGTGACCCAAGTAAATGGATTGGCAAGCGTACAATAGTAAGCAGTGTTTGAACTGGATCCTGAAGCCGAGCCTGATGGACGAGACGATAGAGTCACATGACATTCATCTTATCTATGGTTGTTGAATACACTTTGAAACAACTGCAAGTTAGATGGATCGCCTCATGTAGCTGGAAAACGTTTAACTGGTCTACAAACGTTTTGAATTTCTTTAAAAAACCCAATGTAAACTATACAGTATTCGGTTCTCATTCGGAACTGCTTTCTAAAACGGATGGTAAAATCTACAAAATGGAGGACACAGCGCTCGAAAATGTGCACGCAACTTGGAAATGCTGTTAGCTTTGGCCAGTTCTCGAATTTATATCCTACTACTTGTATTACTGTTAGTAAGCGATTTGGAGTGAGCACTACCAAGATTACGAAGGTACCAAGACCGTGTTCCTTACACATTCGTAAGCTTCTTCCTAGAAAAGATCTCTATTTCAGAATCATATGAAAACTATAACGAATGATGCAAAATTCATCAGTAACCACCAGAACGCCTCAAAAAAATGGTGAGTTAGAATGCCGTTCCGGTTGGGCTGTGATCGAGCGCGCGTACGAACTATGGGACGCGCAGTGTTCCCGCAAGTAGAGTCGAACCCCCAACCTGAATGATTAGGAGATTAAACGTTTTCTGTAACCTTTTGTGCTTGATGGGAACCTCGAGTAGCGAAAAGCAACTTTCAGCATTTTTGGCAGCTTTGTTGTTGTCCGGTCGAAAGCTAACTGTGTCCTATTAGGACACCCTGCCCCACCGCTTGGGTCGCTGGTTTCTTTATCAAAGCCATACGTTCTCGTGAGCTTGAAGTCAACCGGTGTTAATCGCCAGTCTGTGTCCACACGTGCACTCTATGACTGTATGTCTACACTGGTCAAAAAGCGACTGAACGCGTTCATCTTTTCGTGCGCATGTGTGCACAGGCTAGAAAACAAAGCCCAACTAAAATTGTGTTGTGCGCGCAGTTCAGTATTCATGGGAAGGACGCTTATCGTCTTTATGGTTGCCAACAGATAGATTATCGATCTATGTGGGTGTGTTGAGATTCGATGAATGATTGTCACAACCGAGTGTCCCGTTTTTACCAAAAGAGAAACAATTGAACCCAATTGGACTGAACGGAATAAGCCTACAAAAGTACGCCCAGTGGTGGGGAAGGTTTATCAAACTTTCATTAAAGTTGTCACAGCTGACAGGATTAGTAAAGTATTGTCCGCCGCAGTGAAATTCACTTTCAATGGTTTTAGGCTAAGATATATTTTTTATGTCACCCAATATCCGGATGTCGACCTCATTTATCATTACCTACCAATTCGAGCAGGTCTAACTGCAGGGTAGTTGCTTCAACGCATTAAAGAACACAATCCATGCGGGTTCACAGATCTGGGGAGTCGAACTCTGCCAAGCTCAATTGTTGCTTAATTGGAAGATATGCGGTTCGGTCTTTACAACTGTTTGTCGATTCTCACCAGGCATCCCGAGAGCAACGAGGTTTCCAATGGAGCGACCACACAAGCATGCGTTTCATGAACACAAAACCATGCAATCAACGAAAGTTGGTTCAAGCACTCAAACTCCGCTGGAAGACAAAATGGATTGCGCACGTTAATGACGGAAAATTTATTTTCAACTACGTAACCCAAACAGTGAACCGATTCGGAGCGGTTTTGGACTCATCCTCATTTTAGTTTGATCTAACTTAATTTGTGATTGCACTTGGTTGATAATGAATTCACCAAAATATGTCACCTAATGTTGTCGCAATGGCTGTGATAGGAGCTGACTGTGGCATGGCTACCATGTTTTTAGTATGATACATTCAGATACAGATCAATTTCTTCCGTCCGAACATATCATGATTACACACTGCAAGAAAAACTGTAGCGAACAGTTTCGTTTAAAAAAAATTATTAAAACTGTGGTTCCATTACTGGATGCTGTTTACGTCTTAGTCAACACGTGAGCAAATATGTCTGGTCTCCAGGGTCATGTGGATTCGAATGAACTGTTTAAGAGAACAATGGGCAGTTTATGTAGACCAATTCCGATCGCTGGCGTTGAGGCAAGAATGCTACTCTTTATTCCTTTAGATTACCGAAGGTAATTCACGTAGATGGGTAATATAACTAAGGGCCTGACTCCGGAGGGTGTAAAAAGCTGGAACTAACGATGGTTTCCATCAATTTCTCTGTTCAGCCAGGTCGAAAGGATAGGGCGGACTCGTTCAGCCAAAGTCTGCTAGTTTGACCACTGGAACAAGTAAGTGAATACATTATCGTATTAGGAAATCGATTCCAGAGTTAAAGACACCAGATCGG